GGTGATTTTAATCGGTGTAGAGGTTAAAAAAAAAGGTTTTCTGGTACAAGGAGATGTCTTAAAGAAAGCATCAATAGTTGGAAAAAGATTGTTATTCTCCAAAAATGACACAAAAAATAAATTCCCACGTAAGATTGTATTTTTCTCGTTACGAGTCTAGGGCTGTCGGTTCGGTTCGGGTAACCGAACCCGAGAACCGCACAGAACCGAAACCGAACCCTGCCAACCCGAAATCGAAACCGAACAGATGCTTTGCGGGTTTCGGGTACAAAAAAACCGAGAAATAACCGCGGTTTTGGTTCGGTTCGGGTGAACCCGAAACCAAAACCGAAAGTGTAATATCAAGTTCATTCCTCTAAGAAACAAATCGCAGTTCCATTTCTAAATCACAGTTCCAAAGTTTGATCCCACAGCCAATTCGACACCTAACTTACAGAGCTCGAAGCCACCCAGCATCCTCTTAATGGTGGAAACTGGAAATATAAACATAAACACCGGAACATCCTAGATCACGCAAGCAGACGGGCAAGTGGAAAGAAAAACAAAAAATTACTCCAAACAAATCTCTTGATCCCATCCGATTACAATAAATTCGGTTCATAAATTTACGAGCAAGGAATCATGAATGAATTTCACAAAAGCAGAACCCAGGAGTGAATTTCATAGGAGTCACTGGGATCGAGTAACAAATTAGCTATGGTAACAAGAACCCAGTAATAAATTGAAGCAATAGAAGAATTGTTCGAAGAGACTCACTGGGATTCCACTGGGATTCGCGGTGCTAAAAGAGTGGTTGCAGGGGTTCTGTTTTTTCTTCATGTTTCAAATTCACAACCGATGGAAGGGGATGAGGTTGCCGCCTCCGGAGCCGACGCTTCCACCACCACTAATCGACGCCATTGAGATGAAATTGGATAGGAAGGATCTGGTAAGGAGTAGCGCACAGTCGGGCCTTTGGGTATGGTTTACTGGATGGAAGCAGCTTGATTCCGGGAATAAATTGGACAGAACTTTCCTTTGTGGCCACTCTCTCTGTGAAACCAGCAATGGAAGAAGACGAAAGAAGAAATTGAGGAATGGGTTGCAGTGGCGGCGAGGACGATGATGGTGGCGACTGGCAACTGGCGAGGTCGAGGGAGCTCTGTTTCGTTTGGCGAATTCGAAGAGCTGCGGCTGCGAGAACGAGGACGAGGTGGCGTGGAGTCGAGAATCGAGAGCTAGGGCTGAGAGACGGACTCTCCTCCCCAAAACGAAAGCGTGAAGCGGAAGCCCATCAGACATCAGTTTTCGGTTTTGCTTTCGGTTTTGCGGGTTTCAGCAACCCGAAACCGCAACTACAGATATCGGGTCGAACCCGAAAAAACCGAAACCGAGAATGAAACAAACGGTTCGGGTTCGGGTTAACCCGAAAACCCGAAACCGAATCAGCAGGCCTAGTTACGACGTAAAATAAATAAGCCGTTCGCCACATAATTAAGGTAAAATAAATAACCAAGAGAGAACTAGTCTCTGGCTCGCATAATTAATAAGCTGATTGTGTTGATATGGCTGTTACGGCAGGTGGCTGCACTATGCCAGCTTGAGCAGGCATCATGAACCGTATTTAAAATTGGTCTGCCTGTTGCCAAATGGAAATAGGTGCATTTAGGTATTGCCTTGACGTATTATATTAGGGTTGTAAATGAGTGAAGTCGAGTTTTACCCCAAACTCGGCTTGTTTATTAATGAGCCGAGTTTAATCGAGTTCGAGTTATACATGTGATTAATGTCAAGATTAAAATAATAATAAAGTTAAGTGTTCAATATTAACTAATCTCATTTTATAATTTATGGTATCAAACTATTTAGTTAATAAATTTTAATTAGTGAAAGTATGTTGTTTCGTAGAATCGAAGCAATCTATGATATATAATTTATTTTTAAAATTAAATAAAACAAATATGCTCACATAATCTATGTGTTAAACTTCATATAGGTGTGATATATAATTTAACAATCCTATGACTTATCAAAATTAAACTCATATAGATCAATTCGCTCATGAATCGGTAATCGAGTTGTCTCTCTAGCCACAATGTTGAGAATTGAGACATCTCATGAGCTCTAAACGAGTCAGCTCACGAGTTGAGCTCAACAAGCCACCAAGTCAAGCTACCTCGCAAGTTCCACGAGTTGCAGAAGGCTAAACTCAAGCTCGGCTCATTAGTAAACGAACCGAGTTTCAAACGAGCTTTTCCTAAATCGAGCGGCCGCTCGCGAACAGCTCGGCTTTATTTGCAACCCTAATCATATACATAAGTTCCAAGAAATGATACCCTCTAGTCCATATGTTTTGAGCTGACATTGTAAGAACTAAGAACTAATGCTACTAATGTTGGATTGGGCTATCTGCTAGGGGTTCGAAGAATTGAACGGATATGAAATCTGAGCTATTTGGGCCAATAGAGCCCATTGTCCGCTGCCAACTTGCACGAAACCGAGGCGAGGCCCGGCCCTTGCGATATTTAACATGGAGAATGAGTTTTCCATGATGCTAAAGATATTGAATCCCCTCCTCACTTGTAATGAGGGCAGCAAATGAGTTGAGCAGTTCATGAGTAACTTGATGTTGGGTTTGGAAAAAATTGATTTTACATTTAGCTCGTTGAGTCAAGTTCAAACTACACTTTGTTAAGCTTGCAAGGCTTGCGGGCAAGCTCAACTCAATGGCTTATTGAGTTCAATTCGTGAGCTAGTTCTTTTTTATAGGGTGAAAAACGGGACGGGATTGGGTACCCGTCCCGTTTGAAACGGGTACCCATTCCCGTTTGGAGGGCAAAGTTCATCCCATATCTCAAACCCGAAAGGGTCACGGGTACCCGTTAACCCGTACGGGACGGATAACGGGTACCCAAACTACCCGTTAATACCCGTTTAACATGAGAAATTTATAAAATTACTGATTACACATGAAACAAAATAACAATATTACACTTGAAACAAAATAAAATAAGCATTAAAAATAGGGCTACGGTCTGTATGGTATAAGACATAATAAATATAGCTACTGTCAACTTGTCCTTGAAAATGAAAATAAAATTTGAAGTACAAAATAACAAGACTAAGAAGCTACTGTCTCTTGCGCACACAAATGAAAAAATTCCCAGCTACCTCCTGACCAACTGCGTCAAGGAGAACAAGAAGCAGTCACTGATTTGTGATTTGCGGGCAACCAATAGAAGCTAAGTAGTCGCCCAAGGCTTGGGCTTGGACTAGCGACTGGGCTTGAGCTGAGCTCGGATAGGAGTTCTTGGGATGGGAACTGGGTTTCAGTTTTGGACTAAATGTCTAAATGAAATTTAATAAACCTTAATGAGTAATACGGGTACCCAAACTACCCAAACGGGTATTAGCGGGTACCCTATATTGAGATTCTTTATCTCAAGTCCCATCCCGCAACAAATATAACGGGTATTTGGGTACCCGTAACCCTCAAAATATGGGACGGGTTGGGGTATACCCAAATACCCGTTTCCCGTTGTCCACCCTTGAGCTATGAGTTGACTCTCTAGTATGGCTAACTAGCCTTCTCAACTAGCAACTTATGGGCTATTATCACTTTATCAGTACACTTGATAATTCATAGGTTTGTGAGATTGTTTATATCACCACATATAACGTTTAAGACTTAGAGCACGTGATCAAATATGTCTCATTTATATTTTTAAAGATAATTTATATATAATAAATTGTTTAAATACTAATTATTATCAAATAACATTATATGTACAATTAACACTGATGAACTAAATGATACGATACCTGAACTTGAGCCAATCTCGCGAGCTGATTGATGAGGCGAAGCCAACTATAGCTTGTTATCTCATTAACAAGCCAAACTCGAGTCAAGCTCGAGGCTCGAGCCAAACATAAGTTAAGATTTTAGTAAACAAGCAAACATCTAACATGACTCGTTTATAGACGAGATGAACTCAAATTAAATCAAAACTTGGCTCTACTCGACTTATTAGCAGCCATGCATACTCTTAACCAATGAGTTCGAAATCTCGTGGACTATGAAGTTGAGGTAAGAAATGGAACGGAAAAAAAATTATAGAACTATGTTTTTAAATTGAAAATTTATACAAAAAATATTGCTACCTACATGTCGGGGAGATAACAAAGGACCAACCCAAAACGATTAAACGAATATGATATATTGTTCACAAATAAATAAAAAATAGTGCATCTTAAGACAATGATATTGCAACCATTGAAACATAGAATGTGATCATATTCATTAACATGAAACGAGTTGCATGGTCAGATCATTTCTTCAATCAATGTGATAGGCATGATTTGTGACTAAAGTTTGCACAGCAAGGGTTGGTAGATGAAATTTCATGGCAATGATAGGGAAAAGGGTAGGGGAAAACCCTAGTTCCATTATGAAAGAAACTAAAGTGACAAACTAATTTCTCGGAACCATATTGAAAAGAGAACATTATTCAATTTTTTTATTTTATTGTAAAAGTTACACTATTCATAAATATATACATGAACATAGCTATCGATCCTACAATTTAATACAATACTTAAAATAAGCAAATATGAAATATCACAGTTAGAAGCTTCATTCAAATCGTATTACTTCGACAATACGACTCATCTCTAACTCTAAGTGCTTATATCACCATTAACACCTCTACCTCTATGTCCTTCGCTTATGATACCAACCAAGTACCTTACCATTTTGTTATACTTGTTAAATCGTGTAAAATATGCTAATACGGGCATATAACGATTATATTCTGTAATTAATTTCACTATTATAACGGTAAGTTTAAACATAGAGAACAACGATGATAAAACTTATCTAGTTCAACATGGTCAATTCGGTAAGAACAGCTTTCTAGCTGCTTTTGTTTCTCATAAACTGCTTATTGTTACGAGTAACAAAATGAACCGTTTCCCCCACCATGTCTATATGCAAACAACTCTCCCCCTGCAATGCAGAAACACGAAAATTTCTGAATCCTATTGGCGAAGGAATACATCAATCCAACTAACTATCTATTCCTTCGCCAAAAATCTTCCATCGGAAACCAAAGCTTTCCAGGGGAAAAAAGCAACTCACAAAACCTTTGGCTGTCTCTCTTCAACCCGTGAAATCCTCCATCTACCCAAAACTCCCTCCTGCGTGTAGCAGAAAAAAGAAGAGCCACAAGGTCGATTTCTGAATCACGAGAAGAACCCCTCCTCCCTCCATTTCGCCATTACACTTTGGCTTTGACAACACCATTTGGGCCTCAAACTCTGGTTCACACACCACAGCTTCCAATGCCCTCCAAACAAAGCTGCTCGTGATCATGCTCTTTTCAAACGCGTCTATAAACCCACACCCCTAAAGTCTCTGCCTTTGGGAAACAACAATGGAGAAAAAACAAACAATGAAGCCAGCTTCTCCGAAGCCAGGGGACAGCCATTTCGTGGACATCCATGAAGTACTCCACGAAGGAGATGAAGAAGGAGGTGGAGAAGAAGAGAGAACAACAATGGAACGCAACCAAAAACCAAACCGGCCTCCATCGGCCAGGCAATTCAGAATCCGCGGGTTTGGAGGCCAAAGAAGTGGTGTTAGCTTCAGCAGGCAGGTTTCCTTGGAGACGGGGTTTTCAGCTCTCATGGGCAAGGAAGCTGCTTCATCGTCGAAAGCCAATAAAGATGAAGGGATTAAGGTCCTGCCCAGGAGCGGGCGGAGCTTTGGTGGGTTCGATTCGGCTAAACGGCTCAATGTTGGTGGTATTGATGCAGGGGAAAAGAAAGGGGACTTCAGCATGTTCAGGACGAAATCGAGCCTCAGCAAGCAGAATTCGTTGCTGCCGATTAAGAAAGGTGACAATCGGTCGGACCCGATGGAGTATTGGTCGGGGCAGAGGAATAACAATGATCAGAATTCGAACCATGTTAATGGCGGTGGTGATCACGACTCTGTTCATAATGGTGTTCCTGCTGGGAGGTACTTTGCTGCTCTTACCGGACCCGAGCTCGACCAAGTCAAGGTATAGAGTTCTGGATGGACAGTAGATTTGGATCATCTTCTTGTTGTAGAAAAACTTATATTGTGAGATGTTTGGATGGATGCAGGACTATGAAGACATTCTGCTGCCAAAGGACGAGCTCTGGCCATTCCTCCTGCGCTTCCCAATCGGTTGCTTCGGTATCTGTCTCGGCCTGAGCAGCCAAGCAGTCCTCTGGCGAGCGCTAGCAACTTCCCCTGCCACCCAATTCCTCCATGTCACGCCATTCATCAATCTCATCCTCTGGCTCTTGGCCATAGCAGTCCTGTTCTCTGTCTCCATCACCTACATCCTCAAATGCATCTTCTACTTCGAAGCCGTTCGTCGTGAGTACTTCCACCCGGTCAGGGTGAACTTCTTCTTCGCACCCTGGGTCGTCTGCATGTTCCTAGCCATCGGAGCACCACCGATGCTCTCGCCGGAGAAGCTCCACCCGGCCATATGGTGCGTCTTCATGGGGCCTTACTTCTTCCTGGAGCTGAAGATCTACGGACAGTGGCTGTCTGGCGGGAAGAGGCGGCTGTGCAAGGTGGCGAACCCGTCTTCTCATCTGTCAGTGGTGGGGAACTTCGTGGGGGCGATTCTGGCGGCCAGAGTGGGGTGGCTGGAAGCCGCTAAGTTCTTGTGGGCGGTAGGGTTCGCGCATTACCTCGTGGTGTTTGTGACTCTGTATCAGAGGCTGCCGACGAGTGAGGCATTGCCTAAAGAGCTTCATCCTGTTTACTCGATGTTCATCGCGGCGCCATCGGCGGCCAGCATTGCTTGGGAGACTATATATGGGGAGTTTGATGGGTTGTCAAGGACTTGCTACTTCATTGCTCTGTTTCTCTATGTGTCTCTTGTCGTTCGAGTCAAGTTCTTCACCGGGTTTAGGTAAATCTGTTACACACAACACAGTGGTCAATTGCATAATCTCTATCTAGTAATGATGATTTGATTTTGGTTGCATTTGATCGACAGGTTCTCAGTAGCGTGGTGGTCTTACACATTTCCAATGACAACGGCATCAGTGGCGACAATTAAGTATGCAGAACACGTACCTTGTATCCCAAGCAAGGTCCTCGTGTTGATCTTGTCCTTCATGTCGACGACGATGGTGCTGATGCTTTTCGTCTCCACATTGCTCCATGGCTTTGTGTGGAGGACTCTGTTTCCGAACGATCTTGCCATCGCCATAACGAAGAAGAGACTCGTGAGGGACAAGAAGCCACTGAAGAGCAGCTTCAGAAGGTGGACGAAACAGGCGTTGAACAAGCATAACTCTGGCAACAAGGATTCTGGGGATGAGAAGGAATCATCCACTCACAAATAATGTAAGGCTTCAGCAGCAGCTATAGTATAGATATAGTACCACATAGCAAATTAGCAATTGTAACACTTTTTTGTTCCTTTTGTGGTAAGAAGCAATGGAGATATAATGATACATATCCTTCCTTTCTATTACTGAAGCTGGTGAAGCTACATTGGAAACAAAATATCAATAATCTTATTACTGATTACATTTAGAAAAGAGAGCTACAAAGGAGGGGAGGTTTTCTGGGTTGCTGCAAGAAAGGCCAAAATATGGTATACTGCTAAAGGGTAAGAAAGGCCTCTAATGGCTGTACAACACCGGCCTTTTAACTAGAGATTCTTCTTTCCACTAAAAGGGTAGGGGTCGAGAGAGACCTAATCGCTGTTGTAAAGTTAGATGTACATTGCTGGTGTGAGAATAGCAGCTTTCTTCTTCTAGAAGAAATCGATTCCTTCAACTGACTCGAAGGCAGTTGTGCAGTTTTGCAGAAGGGTTGTGGGGGAAAGAAGTCTCAAGTGATGGATTCTGATTGCTTGCTTTCCAAGGGATTCTTTTTGTCAGGCCTCAGCTACTCTTCTCACCGGATGCCCAAGTTCCTAGAACAATTTCCGAAGTTTGATTGTGTGGCAAGAAGTATGGGAGATGCAGGGTGCAAAAAACATGGAATATCAGTGATTAACCTTTTTCTCGGCTGCATACCTCACGCCGTACTGGTTCCCGACATCACTGTTGCATCCATTGCTTCCTGGGCGAATCTGCTTTCCACCAAAGCCACCAGATGGCCTTCCTTTCGGTACGTGCTGCATCTGTAGATGGACAAACGATAACATGTCGTTGGTATAGATGAGGAAGACACCGGTTACAGTTGAAGCTTGTTAAGCTTGAATATCACGAGCATACAAATTTACCTTGTGGTCTGTCTGATGATTCAACTGATTCTCTTTTGAGCCCTTGCAAAGATGAACAATCATAAGACTAAGTGAGTCAAAGGGATAACAGGGATAAAAGTGTGCAGGCTTAAGGTGGAAAACTGTATAAACCTTAAGTAGAGAAACCTCTTGAGCTGAAGGGTTTGATCGAGTAAACTGGGACGGAGGTTCCACCCATGGCTGGGTTTCAGATTTTAATGACAGCTGCAATTTCCAATCAGCCAAATTGTAAGAAAGAGTTTCAGACTTTTGGCTGCTATTTACTGCAACATGAATTTCAGACTTTGGAAACGGCTACCTTGCTAAATAGGTCTGTCGGAGGATTATGATGAGGTCTCTTGTCTGTATGGAGATTAAACTCCTGCAAAAGGTTGCAGACGAAACAGCATCAGTGGAATGTGTAGAACCGAAAACTAAAGAATCGAGCCTTTCTGCAAATGAAAACTACCATGGGCACTGTGGTTTGCCGCTTGCTGTTTCGAAAAACACCTATGTCTCCTTTGCTTGAAAGAATCTGCATTCAAACATGAAAAAGCATTCCATATGAATTTTGAGTAACAAGCTTTTTGAGGATGTGATCTCAACTTTTTCCTTGGTACCTTTTTATTGAGTGGGCGAGCTTTGAATATGTGTGCTGCAGTTTGTCCATCCTGCTTTGCAGCATTGAGGGTACTGGGTCTGGGGATAGACAAACAGGTTTTAAGAAAGCATTCCTAGACATTTTTAAAATAACCCCGGAACTTGTTCCCTTCTTCAGAAATCTTATTACCTTCGGGATTCTCTCCTTCCCATTTCTGCAACAGAGAATGTAGCCTGCTTGTCCATGCCCTGCAAAAAACACTCAATTTTTCATATGAAATAGTAGATTAGCTACACAAACACAACAGCCTACCACTCAGAACAAACATAACCAATAGAGAGTCACAATTTTAATCGTAATAGGAACTTAAAAATGTTTACCTGATTAGAACCGGAGCACTGAAGTGAGGAAGATGAAACTGCAGAAGTATGCTGCTTGGCCCTTTCTGATGTTTTCAAGTGAAATTCCTGCAAAGCAATGAGAATGGATTATACTCAGGCAAACACATGAACAAAAAAGCATAAAAAGGAAAGGTAGATTATAGGTAGAGAACCCACGTGAAACTCAGGCAACCTTGGAGTGCTTTTCTTTGGGATAGGTAACGACGGGGCCTCAAGAATCTGCAAATTAGAAATGAACAATTATTAAATAGAATACTGAAGGCCTCCCTAAATAACATTGTCTGAAGTTCAGGAACCAACTTTGCGGTTCAACGGGCGTGCTTTGAATCTTCGAACAGCAACTGTTGTATGTTCAAATTCTGATGTAATCATAGGCCTGCATCAGAAAAAGCGATTAATTTCAGGACCATGTAAACCAAAACATGTATAACAACAACCTGAACTGGATATCAAAAGGAAAAACCTTGTTCTGTGTGCTCTATGTGCTGTCTCAAAGTCCGGCTCTCTTGGAATGGTTATCCTCAGCTTCACAAGGACAGAGCTATTGTTAGGCAACATCTGACAGTTAACTATTACTCATAGAAATCAAGAATTCTGCTTAGTTCCCCATAGCATAAGAAAAACAGAGTAAACTCTAATCCAAGGGTTATATAATCATTACTCCTAAACCAACAAGGCAAAACATCCATACTGATGGAAAATTAAGAGCTATCAGGGATGTCAAGAAGTTCCCAATTTGTGCGATGTAAGAACTCACTGTCGAAATCCTTATTTTCCGGACAAGACTGTATAAAGTATTAAAGTTTGGAGGCAAATAGATGAACACGATTGATAAAAGATAACTCAAAATATATACCTTAGCAGGTGCTTTATGGAGGAAATCAGTCTGGGGATTTGCATCACCAACCTGCTACACAAAAGAAAGCAACTAAATCACCACAAAGGTCTAAAACTTAAAGCTCAAATTGAACAATGTAGGTGCCAGTAAGTGGTAAAAATCTATTGCTACCAAACCAAAACTGTAGCTCGAGAGCAATGAACAAAATAATTGCTTTGGGAATGAAGTACCTTACGCAGATGACCTCCCTCTAACTTCTGCCGTTTGGCAGCCTGATTTTCGACCATGGAAGAGTTAGGTATGCTTTTTCCTTTCTGATCTAGAACCATTTGAAACCTGATATCCCGGGGGAATAGTATTGCAACAAGAAATTCCATGAGAAGTTACAACTTACAACAGAGATGCCACATCGTAAGCATGTAATGCAGGCAACAGAGACATCTGATTATAATGGTTCTCAAATTTTAAAAAATACGGTACATTCTAAATTGAGTTGGACAATTTCATAACTGAGTTATGCAGGGGTGGACAAAATACTTTTCGACACCACAAACATTCACAATGTGGAGCCTAGTAAATAAATCATCAACAAGCAATGCAGTCCAATATAATTCGTAACTCCAACAATAAAGCTCATTGCGAAAGTATCAACAAATAGTAGAGCAAATATGACTGTATCATATTTAGAACCAGGGAAACGTGATAAGAAATATCACCTTGAACCGCCAACATGTGGTGCTCGTATTTGCTTAGCCAACAGACTGGCTGTTGGTCTCATCAAAGTTGAGCAACCTCGAGATTTAGGCTTCAACGGATTCTCCTTGGCTTTGAATTTATCACTCAATACATGATTGTAAAATATGAATCCTGCTGTGACCAGACAAAAGATAATCAGAGTTGAGAACATAGTCATGTCAAATCATGAAAGCAGCAAAAAGCCAGTCTACCAATAGTGGTTTCCCTTGGGCCGGAATAGGCCACAGAAGTATTAAAGGTACCAATCTTTCCGAGTTCTTCCTAAAAGGGGAACAAAAACAATACACTCTGATCACAGGATCCATGAAAAAGTGATGGTCATTTGAAGCATCGAACATGAATGCACAGTTACGATAGGACACTGATTGTTGCTAGTTCTGGCCCTGGATTGGGAATTTTTTTCAAATGATCAGTGCTGGGAATGGAAGTTTATATTTGATCACACTGACACTTAGCAAATGATTCAAGCCAAGATCCTAGATTAAGCACATAAACATTTGAAGCTTGATTTCTGTATCAACTAGAAAACTCAGGTCTCATATCTAGGCATGTTAGAGCACCAAACTAGAATGGTTCATATCGATCCCCGCCCTGTATTTCCAGGCAAAGGAACACCAGTCATATTCCATGTCTCTATACAGAAGAAACCTCGGATGTCTCCATTCCAACAGCTTAAAATTCAGGCCCAAAGAAAGCTGTAACTGACATTTTCTACTTAGACCATCAAACAAGAAAAGGTGGCTGGACCAACCTATCCGGATGAGCCAATCCCTACCGTCCCAAATCACGATCCATACCGTGCAATGATCGATGAAAAGAATCAAGGACGGAGAATCCCGTAATATCCTTCATGTATGTTGGCTCTGAGATAAAGGGGGGCCACTGAATAAACAATCAAAGAAGTAGAATTAGGGTTCTTTTACCTTTATGGTCATCCCCCACCGCTGCACTTTCCGGGCCCAGAGCACCACCGTCTTCATCATTGAGCGAGGTGGTCATATATTCAGCACCTTTAGGTTTTGGAGATGTATTAATGTTCTGCAACATGATTTCCTCTCTCAGCACCAACTTTGCCACAAATGCTGAAACAAAGATGGAAGAAAGAAACCCAAGGCAAGACAATAAGACCGTAAGGAAATCAGAATCACGGACGAATCAGAACCTAACTCAAAGAGAACAGAGCGCAATGCTTTGCACAAAAGAAGAAAAAGGGGATTAAGAGCTTGAAAGGCGAAAACAAAGGCAAAATTCGCAAGTGAATCAAACAGGGGGCAAAAGGGGAGCATTTTTCCACTGCCAAATAAAATGCAGCTTGAGAATCACAAAACTCACGAGACGGAGGGTAACTACACGCCGCGCCGAACCACCGCTCGGCCAGCAGCGCCTCCGCGAAGGTCTCCTCCCGGCTGAAATCGAAGAACATCGGCGCATCGAACTCGTAGTCAGGATCTACTTCCCGAGCCTCGTAGTAAAACAACTCCACCTCCATTTCCTCCTCCATTCCGCTTTCCATTTCCTCCCTCAAATCGCTCGACTCACTCACTGCACTGTATTCACTCTAAACCCCTCAAACGGCCACACACCATTCAGACGCCGCCAAATCACTTTTCCACTCTTCTCCGGCGAGCTGAAAACCCTAATGAATCGCTTCGATTGAGAAAAAGGGAGGGTCGGGCTCAGCGGGACAGCAGCAGTGCCCGCTCGCTCTTACACAGTAACAACAGAATCCAAAACAGGCAAGCAAATAAATGAATAATAATCCCTAGTCCATATACAAAAAATAAAAGAATTCGATCAATTCATTTATTGGTTCATTACATTCCAAAAAGTCATTAAAATGGATAGATCGTCTTCTTTCTCCTTCCTTCCTTCCTTCTCTCTTCTCTTCTGTTTCTTTCTTCCCTCCCGTCGTCTCAGTTTGTAACGATCTGAAATTTGAATTCTCAGAAGAAACCAATAAAAAAAAAAAAGGAGACAGAGAGGGAAATTAATTTCCCTTTTGTTTATGAATTTTCCCCCGTTCAAGACGAAAATGCCACTGGTGATTATCAATAATGGGAGGTGGGGCACGGAGGGTACGATGGTCAAACACCAGAGCGTCGTTTTAGGAGTTTTTTAGGGGATTTTGTCTGTGTGCACAAAGGAGGAGAGAGTCATCGGGGTCCGGGTTGGTTCATCGGGCGGCCAGAAACTGTCCGTGAAGTTTCTGAAATTTCGGCGGGGTTAGAGATCTGCCCCTGGGAGTTGGTGGAAATTACGTGAAATGCCACTAACGGCTTTGTTTTTAGTTTTGTCCTGTAGTGAAAAATGCCGAATGCGTGCCTTGTGGGCGACGGAGGGACTGGTGATGACGAAACGGACAGATCGGCGCCGCGCCGGGCCGGGAGACGACGTTTTTAAGCAAAATTCAAAAAAAAAAAAAAGGCGATGGAGAATAATAAGGACTGTTACGAGGGTAAGAACGTCATTTACACGTGCTGGGGGGCTGAGGGTGTCCTCGATATATACGTGCTCGTGCATGATAATAGTGTCGCGAAGTGGGAAGAAGAGGAAGGCAATTAGCGAATAGCTTATTTATTGTATTGTACTACAGTTCAACATTCATGTCTGCTAAATTTCAAACACAATACCACCTTTTCCTTACTCTTTGAAATATTTTTCTATTGCATCGTTTGGAAGATAGAGTTGGACTAGTTACAGTTAATTTGATTAAATTGTCTCAAGTCAAAATGAAATAATTAAATTAAATTATTTTATTTGACAACGCATAATAGAGATGTAGCAGTTGAGTCGATTTGGATTAATTTAAATTGATAGGTGGAAGGGTGAGTATTTTGAAGTGATGTATCAATGATCAAATGAGATAATCTTGATACAACATGATCAAATTGCCCCATTTCTTAAATTCATCGTCTAAATGACCCAAATATCCATCAAAAGAAATTTGTTTGTTTATACAATCCATTCTTCAATAATAGTTGGGAGATCTTGTTTCAACGACCGTAAGGAAATCATACATTAATCGTTTGCTTATCAATTCAATTGGGAGTGGTAAATTTCATACGGTGAATGGCAATTCATGTTATTGATATAGGGCAAGCACGGTTGTCAATTCGCAGATCAACCCATCGGTTAATCCAAATTGACCCAAACACGGTGAGGAAAACAGACGCCACGCATCCACCGAGTCAACCCGTGGCAAGGTTCACTTACTCGAGGTTACACGACGTTATTTTTCTCTTTGATTTGGGAATTGCGCCTTTTTTCCGTTTTTTCCCATTTGTCTAACCCTACTTTTGAAATTCTAAGTTAAACATTTGAATATTGATGTTATATGAGTGTGTTTGAACTTTCATTTTACGTTGAATCCAAGTACAAACTCCTATTGTGGTGTCATGTTATTTGTTCTTATCCATATGTAGATGAGATTTTATATAATTTATAAATGTATGATCAATATAATGAGTACTTTTTCCATATATATGGACTAAACTGAACTAAAATGATCAAACCATTAATCCTTAACTCACTTACTCGATCAGACCATTGTGTCAACCTGGCCACCTGGGGCCAAGTAGAAGGGTGCATAGATGAACACTAAAAGGATGCATACAACTTCTGATAGGGTGGTTTTGGATCAATCATTCAAACCTATACTAATACTAGCAGCTTTGCCCGACCCGTTGGTCGGGTTTGATTATTCAATTAGACATCAGTTCAATTCATGAGTTTAAAAAAGTGAATTCTTAATTGTATTGTTGGATATTTTTAAAATTTGCAGTAGTAGTGGAAGCATTAGTGTGATTAGGGATTATAACAAAACCCGAACCCATGAGTATCCTACCTAACCCAATTCGGTCAGTATGGGTAAAATTCATGTTGACAGGTTTTGAGCTTGGTTTGGGTTTAAACTCGTTACACTATCACTCGGATTGGGTTGTGTTTGGGTTTAGAGATACCCGACCCATGGATACCCGCCCACACTTATTTCTTCTCCTACTCTTTCCAAAGTCTACCCTAATTCTAATTTCCCCAATCTAATTTACAATTTGTTTAGAGAAATTAGTGTTTGACTTTTATTTTGATATGAACTTGTCATTGTAAATTTTTTACCACAAAAATCCATGAGTACACAGCGGGTTGGGTTGGGTTTGAGTTTTCCAAACCCATTGGGTTGTATCCCTGGTTTTTTTGACGGATAAACCCATGAGTTTGGATTTGAATTTGGCAAAACCCGACCCAACCCGACCCATTGTCATCCGTAGTTGGCATGACCATTGCTGAAAACATCATGGCTTGCACAATTAGGCTGCTCCCTTTCTCATGGGAGAAGGATAGAGAATTCAACAATGTAGATATCACTATTGATCGATAGGGTTGATGACTTTCCATCTCTAATAATATTGTAAGATAGAAATTTAAGATTTTTATATTTGGAGTATACTTTATATTTCTAAGCATAATTTGTATGTTCTCATTCAACATATAATCAAGTTCAAAGTTCTATCTAATTTTCTATCTAATTTTCACAACCACCTAATCCCGTCCCTCAATTCACTCTTTCCATTTCTCTCTTTGACGCCCTTCCGGTTCCTCCTCCCCATCTCCATATCTCTCTTCCTCTTCTCCGTGTCTAGAACCAATTAGTCTCAATAAGTTGAAGTTCAGTTATTTAGAATTGTTCAATTATCGATCTTATAGCATTTACCAACACACTATTCTTCTCCCTTCTCTCTCTCAGGCCCTCTCCACCTCTCTTTCTCATTCATGATCGTCGTTTGACAACCCTGGACATACCGTTAGTATGCGTGTGCGCCCATGACGAACTCTAATATAGTAATCTCAACTCTTAAGTTTACTATAGGATTGTATTCAAAATTCCCTTCATTTACTCTACCACTCAAAAAGTTATTTAACGCTCTAATGGTGAACATAAATTGATGGTTGGCTTATCAATCATATTAAATTATTGGGAGATGTACAATTATCGATCTTATACTTTTTACCAATACTCCATTTTTCTTCCTCCTCTCTCAAACCCTCTCCGCCTCTATTTCTCAGTCATGATCGTTGTTTGACAATCATGAATGGAAGCGTCAATATGCGCATGTGCCTCATGATTGTGAACTCTAATATAGTAATCTCGATTCTTCATTTTAGTCAATTTCCAACTCAAAAGTTATTTAATTCTCTAATATTGAACATAAATTCATGGGTGGCTTATCAACTATATACCTGCATAATTAATTTAAGGATTAGTGATGGGATAACCCTTCACTTCATGCAATGTTAAATCATTAAAAAATTGATATCAAGTTGAGTTTATGTAAAGATAATTATAGAACCTAAGTTATTACTTATAAGTTGCTATTATGGTGATGTTTTGTAGTTTTCATAGTAGTATTGGTTAAGATATTTCTCCGCTGTTTGAAAGCATATAACACAACCATGCATATAACAACTATGTTGAACATCGATAATTTCACGTTGAATTGATGAGCGAAGTGAAAATCTAAGAAGCAAACACATACTTAGTTTGCTGCAATTTTATTAAGAAATGCAACTAATCAATAGAGTGGTATTAAGGTCTAGCTAGGTCCCACCTCAAGGCTCAACCATCGTAGAATAATTGATCTCTGAGTTCCCCAAACGATTAATAGGTTTAGGCCCTACCCGTATCCCAATATATGTTTTTTCTTTTAATAATAATTATGTGGTATAGCAAGGACATTTAAGTGACAGATTGTCATATATTTAATGCATCAAAATGTCAGCATTGAGACCGATAAGCTATGCATTTGCTGCACTTGACAAACATATATTATTGTTGAGTTGTCTCATTTTTTTCAGTTTGTATGAACCTTCATATATTACATTTAGTACACATTTTTTAGGAACTTAATAAAAAAATTCAATGGTATGTAATACTTATGTTCACATCGGGTTTACTGGTTAGACGTTGATTCGGTGAGAAAAACGGGAGTAACACAGCCTTATAAGATATAACTTTTACCGTAAAAATCAAGTTGTAAATTTATTTATAACCCACAACACATATATCCAGCCTAAATAAACTAAAATGAGCATATAAGTTTGTGTCAAATTTTCATTCACGCAGCCCATATTGAGCGGCCCATTTAATTTGTTGTTGCGGCTACATTAATGTGTCCATTGATGTGTTCATTGACGTTAAAACCCTTCCTCAAATTAAGGACGGCTTCCGAATGGCTGATGTGGCAAACTCCATACTTGCACTGTTGTATATATATATGTGTTGATTACAAACATGTCATGGATAAGCGAAGCTATATGAAATCCATTGTGTTTTCTTTAAGGGTTGAAAAGGTGCACCATACCTGCGGTTCGGCTAGAAATACTTCTTGTGGCATGTTAAATCGGTAGGCGATGTTTAATCAAATAAAACAGTTGAACCCCAATTTCAGTATAAAATAAACTACTATTAACTTTTCTTGTATAACTTTCAATAATTTAACAATTCTTGATTTTCTCATAGAGTTATTGCACATATCAACAAATCTATCCCCCAGTTTGAGCAACAGGCCAAATTAGTTGAAAACTTGGAAGCTCATGTCATCATACCGGTTTAATTAAAATAAACAGAAGATTGGGGAATGGGTCCATATATTTTAGCCCAATCCAAAAAAAAGTTCCTCGAAACGAGAATGGAGGAACCCCAGAAGGACAGGAACTTTGGTGCACCTTTTTGGTCTTTAGCTCGGGGACACAGCTGGTCTGCTGCTGGTGGTGTCTCCATCGCTCAAGGCAAGCCAGCAGCTAGCTTCAAATTCCAACCCAAGTAATGAAGTTTCTTTCTCTATTTTCCCCTTTTCTGGTTTACACTATTCAGCATTCACTTTCCTGTTCCTCTGTTTTCCTGCTTTTTACCCATCAACAATCACCTGGCACGACCCACAGCTCGGCTCAATAAATTGGCCTGTCAATGAACTATCTAACGTTTTTCACTCCGAGTTTAATGAGATAGGACGAAGAAAATTCTGCAGGGGACGAAGATTTCATTCATTCAATCAATGATTTCGTGGGGACAGCAGCTTCAGTATGCAATCAATGAA